GGGGGCGGCGCGCTTTGTGTCGGCGCCCCCTCCCCCCTCCCGTGCCGCCGCGGGGCTGGGGGAGGGGGCGCTCGCGGCCGCCTTTGTTCCCGCTGCGTCAGCGGCGCCCGCCTCCTTCTCCCGCTCTCCTTCCCGCTTTCCTTTCCCTCTCCGCGGGGCCCGTGACGCAGTGGAGCCCGGGCGGCTCGCGGCACCGCGCAGCTCGCTGCTTGTGTTTTTAAATTAATTATTCTTCCCCCCCCACCCCCTTCCCCCGCGTCCGCCCCCATTCCTTTCCCTCCCTTCCCCCCGCCGCGCGGGGCGGAGTCAGGAGGCGCGGGCCGCTTCCCAGCGCGGAGGGGGTGGATGGTTATCTAATCCCGGGGGGGAGGGGGAGGAGCCGCGGCCTGGCGAGGCGCAGGGCGCGCAGCGCCGGCCCCCGCCGCTGCTGCCCCGCAGTCCCGGGCGAAGTAGGTCAGGGCGCCGGTGCCCGCACCCCCCGCCTCCCCCCCCCCCCGCTCGCCGCGAGGCGGCACGTGACGCGGGCCGGCTGCCCGGTGCGCGGCTGCTCCCCGCTGCGCCGCCGCGCTGACACGGCCGCCCCGCTCCCCTCCCCGCCCGGACCCCAGGCCAGAGCCGGCCGCAGCCGGTACTCACACGGCCGAGCGTGGAATGGACTGGGTGTTTCAGCCTTGCGTAGATGCGCAAATCGAAGCGGGTCTTGGGTGTGGAAAAGATCCCAAGAGCTGCTTGCCCCGTCAGAGGCCTTTTGATAATCCCTAGTGGCTCAGATGGGCAGTGCATATGATCAGGCATTTTAAAGGGTAATAAATTGGAATCCTGGTTTTGGCCTGATGGAGGTCCTGCTGGAAGACCCCCTGTGCACTTGCTATTGGTGAAAATGAAAAATTAAATACTACTACTTTCAAATGAGTTTTTCCATTTTAGCTTGTTGTCAACTTAGCTCCTGTAGTTTCTCTGTTGGCATTACAAGTTGAAACCTGTGCGTTTGCCTTTAGTCAGAGTGAGCTGAAAGGCACTTGAGAGTGATGCTCACCTTGCTTATAAGCAAGAAGTCTGTGTGTATTGATTTGATGAATGTAATATGGCAGCAAGCTCAGGTGACTGCGCAGTGCACATGTAATGGCGGCCACGAGGACACTTGAGGACAAGATGTACTGTTTGTGTTTGATTCCAAGGATTATAGTTGTTTGCCACTGATGATACCATAGAAACAAATTCCTTCATGACAGTGTTTTTTTTTTTTTTTTTTTTTGGAACACTTCCTCATGATCAATAAGCTGTTTTCCCTCATTTCTAGTATTAGTATAAACTTATATAACATGTCAGATATTTACTTGGCTGTTCTGTTTCTTCTAGTTTTCTGGTCTAGACTTGAACTCCTCAGACTCCCAGAGCGAAGGAAGCTCTACAAGCAGTAAGTATATGCAAGTTTGCAAGTACATAGTTTTTAAAAATGGACAGCTCTTGTAGCTGTAAAGAATTCTCAAGCCAAGATTTGCAGGGGTTGATGAAGAAGTGTTGAGGTTGTTAATTGTCTGGCTTAGTTAGGAACACTTTATTCAGCAGTGGAATGGCATCTCTAAACTTAATTGAAAAACCTTAGTGGTATTTTGTCTTGGCTGTTTAACTGGCCTGAGAGAACTGCAGCGTCTTGATTTTTGTTGCTAGTTTTTCCTCTTCCCTACATTATATCTGCTAAGAGCTCAGTCTTTCAATTTGTTGCTACTTTATCTGCCCTCTCTACTCAGAAATCCGAGTTTGATTGCAGTAGTAACGTAATGACGTCCCAAAAGATTGTTCTAGAACTGAATAAAGTCCTAGTAGCTCACGGCATCGCTTGTGGTGAGCTTTCTCTGATAAACAATACAGAACTACACTGAGAAGGGACCTTCCAGGGATTTAAGTTCTGCTCTTGCCTCTAGTATGTTTAAATTCGCACTGTTCAGCAGACAAATGATTTGAGTTGTAGGTGAAGGACACTGTTCAGAAGCCATGAGCTGAACTGGTTGTAGGAAGGAAAAGTATGGATGCTTACAGGACTGCTGTTGTCATTTGAATGACCCAAAATCTTCAAATATCTAGAACCTGTTTAAGCCTTAATGAGTTTTAGCATGACAGGTTTTGTTGAACGTGTGGCTGTGTCAATACAAGATGTGTTTGATTGGGCAGAAGAGTTGCAGGACTATTGATTTATATAGCTGCCCTCTATTTTTGTAAATACAGAGACCTTTCTGTTCCCTGCTGAGAACATCTTGAAGAGCTTTTGAATTGTATTGTCAAGTGTATTGAGCAAGGAGCCCTTTTAATACAGCACTTAAACAGCATGAATGGCCTTACAACTCGGGCAAGACAGCTAACTAAAAACTGTTTAAAAAATTTACTTCTCAATGTACCTTAACCCTGCAGTTTTGTAACACTTTTTTTTTCCCCTGCTTCCTTTAGAAGGCCGATACATTCCTCCTCACTTACGGAACAGGGAAGCTTCAAAACAGGGTATGTATCAGAAAAATGGTGGCAGCAGCTGTGGTTCTCTGTCCTCTGAATCCTGTCTTAAAAGACTGCTTGTTTAAGGGCTTTGGCACAGCTGTTAAGTGACTGTATATGGACTGCTTGACTGTTCTGTGCAAAGCCTTGTAATTTAATCTTGCTTGCAGACTACTAAAGTTGATGCCTTCATCATGTTAAATCTTGAGCTTGGTATCTGGGCCTGTCTGTCTGTCTCTTGTATCTTGCCAAGCAGTTAATCGTGATTTGAATCAAGATGGGGTCTGCATTTAAATTTTTCTGTCTTGCACTCTTGTGCATCAGCTTGAATGACTCCTGGCAGTACTAATTATGTTGTTAGCGACAGCGATGTAAAACTTTCAGTAACTAGTTCTTAATCTTAGAGTTGATGTGCTTCTCAGTGCAGTAAGTACAGGTTCTCTTTTTAAACAGATTTAGCTGCCCTTGCACTTAAGTCTAGATGCATGAACGTATAGATGTTTCCTTTTCCTAATTTTTATAGTTTTCAGTGGGAAAATGCTAATTACAGAGTGTGATGTGGAATGCTGACACATGAAGTGTGAAATGCGTGACCAGTGTTGATCATGTGTTTGTAGAGTTTTTACTGGAAGATTACTCTCTTTATTTGATTGTTCTAGAACAAAACAGGATGTAGAAGTGTTTTGTGCAATGCTTCAGTGAAGTAAAATGTGACTGCAAGTTGTAAGATGAGTCACATGCTGGTGTTACATTGCTACATATGGTGATAATGCTCTTGTGCGGATACAAGGAAAGATGTGCTTTGTCCAACACCTACTAAATTTCAGGAATGAAAAAACTAAAACAGTTTGCCCTATGGTAGAGTTTAAAGTAGTGATTGATGTTTCCTGTTACTGTAATGAGTGAGCTTAATCCCATCTGTTTCTAAAGCAACACTGGACTTGGTTACTGTTTTGTTCCAGTTACAGATTATGCATGGCAACTAAACTTTCGAGTGCAGCAGGCTCCTATTCCAAAGAGGAGTAGATCTGGGGAGGGAGGTTGGGATGTTGAAATACATACTGATAACAACTTTCTCACACAATACTTCTGAATATGGAATTCGGGATTAGTTTAAAAATTGTGCTCTGCTCTTGTTTTGTGCCACTTGAAGAAAAAAGTTGTACTTTTTGACTTCTGTGGTGGCCTTTTTTCACATGTTTCTCAAGTAGTCTTTTGCCTAATGAAAGCCTAGCGTACAGCACAAAAGGATGCTGAACAGCCTGTTAGGAGGATTGAATGAATTGAGGAAAGTTAGTGACTGCTCTGCAACTCCGTGCTCATAAAATTCCCAGTTGCCTCACTCCCATGTGGGCACACTTCCAAAAAGTCAGTAAGCTGAGCCTGATCAGAACATGTTGTTTTTTTGAATATGAGGAAAGCAGAGTGAGTTGACTTGTGGCCATTTGCTGTTTATATTTTTTCCTTATATGGTAACTTGCACCAACTCTCAAGCTAATATTTGAGGATATCAACCACAGAGTTTTTCTTCAATTCACAGCATGGCTTGTAGGTGTAGGATGTTCGTCTTTCACCTTTCTGTAGAAGGCTGTGTTGAAGCATCACAGTGCACTTACGATTATGAAGACAGAACCTAAGGGTGACTTAGAGCAGAAAAAGTACCTGTTATCCTAGATTCTGCCTAAGAGTTACCTTAAGTGTCCATATTAAAAGCCGTCCTCAAATCTTTTTCTGAGTTGGCAGCCATCTTGCTTCACTTGAGCAAGATATTTGAGGTGCCTGCTCAATGAATTCAGTAGCTTTTTAAATTAGAAAGTGCATAGGTATTCCATTTTTAAAGCTCGCTCATCCCAAGGTTGGCTGAATCTTGCCTTTATTACTTGGTGACCAGAAGATAAAATGATTTATGCAAAGACTAATTCCGGGTTCTTTCGTGGCATTTTTCTTCTGATGGCTATGCTAAGCAGTTGGTGCATCTCCAATGTATGAAATCTTAATCTAGGTTTGGTATATGCGTTTTTTGAGTAACCAAACATTTAGTACTTTTCATTTCTGTCTGAGTATTACATTGCTGTACTTCTCAAGGTTCTATGTGACAGGAACAACATATTAGCTATATGGAAGTGACTTGGCGCCCACCAAGAAGAGCTGTTGCTGAATGACATCAGTGCAGTGATGCAGAACTGTTCTGTAATGCCATTTGAAGTCTTGCGGTTTAAACATAAACTAAATGCTTCTATATAGGTCTCCTTTTCACTACTGTTCTCCAAGTGCAGTAGTGGAGTTCTTTTGTGTTTTTTTTCTGTTGGTCTTCAGTAATCAAATGGAATGGTCTTGATCGTAATGATTTCCAACCATAACCATTCTGTGACTCTGTGACCCAATGGGTTTTCCAAGTATTGGGTATATATTGCAGCTCTTAATTTAGCTCTCACTTCAAAAGGTAAGGAATTGTAAGGAATAAAGGATTTTTTTTTCTGATGTCTTCATAGACCCACTGTAGAAGAGCAAGGCTATGATGTCTAGCTTGGGGCTGTCTGTTTTCTAAGTGATTGTGGTGCAGTAATTCACAGATGCCTTATTAAAATGGTGTAATGGACTTGTGACTAAGTAAGAAATGGTTAAGGAAGATGACTTGGGCAATTAAAAATAGCTGTTCTGGTTTTCTGTTGTACGTGAGGATCATGCTTCTAGCTGAGCTATTGGCAGGAGAAGTTTCTTTTTAAAAACCCTGCAGTGTTGCCCTAGTATTTTAGGTAGCTTCAGGTTCCATAATTCCATGCACATACAGATCTGCCTCCTACTTGAACACTAATCTGCTGGCTTTGTTCTTGGGAACGAGAAAGTATAGAATTACAAGAAATGTGGAAATGCATAAAAATGTGTGGGTGACATAATGGTAATTTTACATTTGAACAATATAAGCAGTAGTTTAGGGAGCTCAGTATACTGGGCTGTCTGGTCAGAAGCCTCTCTTGCACTGTGAACTTCAGATTATCAATATAGCATGATATTAGATCAGTTGTTAAGCTTCCTGAAAGGTACTCTCGAATAGCAAAACCTGTTGTGTAGTAGTAGATCAAGGAAGAAATGCTAGATGTAATCTTGCATTTCAGATCTGATAATTGCTGCTGCATGGTGTTTTTTCAAGTCATCTGACAGAGATAGGAGCTTTACAGGGCGTGATTGAAGTTACAGGTTATTCTGTGGAAACATGTGACAATGAAAGATTGAGAAGCAGCTTGATAATTGTGTTTATAAGAAAGAACTGCGACATTGCTGGAAGTGCATTAAGTTCTTGAAATCAAACTTAAGCCTTTACTGAGAAATCTCTGATATGTTTTTCTTTAAAAAACAAAATTTTAAAGACTAATTTTCCAGTATTCATGAGATCCTTGGGTTGTCTTCTCCAAAGTAAACAAAACATCCATTACCAAATCTGTTTTAGACACTAATTTTGTTGCCATTGGTTTTAATGTATCATAGTTTGTTTTCAGTCATGGTTATGGCATTCTCTTGGTTGCTCTTAAGGGATGAATTTTATTACCTGGATCTCTCTCCTGTTCTACCCTAAAGAAACATGAAAATCAAAATAGCATGTCAAAATGAAGATCAAGGTTCTAAAGAAACATGCCAAGACAGCAGCTTAAATTGATGTAGCTCTAGTAATCTAACAAGCTACATGAGAACACATTGTAAGTCTAAATCTTTCTGTTTGGAATTGTCCAGATGTCATTGAAATTCTTGATGTGGTACAGAAGCAGCCTGGTTCTCTGGACTCTGTTTGACAGTTGCTCTATTGGTATGGCTGCTGCTATTTCTGGGCAGGATAAAACATTTCCAGTGTTCAGTGTGTGGCTGGCTATCAAGAGTTAATCATACTAAAATATACTTTTTTGGGTGATTTTTGAATAGGTTTTTTTATTAATGAGTAACTATCATGGTACTCTTACTTTCCTCAGCAGTCTTTGCTTAAGGTTAGCTTTTCCTTAAGTAGTTGAGTGAATCTCTTTCCACAAGAAGCCTCAGAGCAGAGGCTTCGGTGGTTTTACATGGATATGAACTCTTCAAAGAACACTGAACAAGCTAGGGGTAGTTGTAGCTACTCTGAGCTGCAATTAGGGATGCAGTCTAGATCTCCTTTTTCTGAAACTATTGTATTGATATTGTGTTGATATGTGTTGTATGTTGTATTGGTATCTGTTGCTTGTGTTTTGTGTGGCAAGTTGGTGTAATGCAGCAGCTGAATTAGTACTGTGGGGGTTGCAGAAAACCTCATACTTGCTGGTACGAGTGACATCCCCCTTTATTTTACCTAAATGCCAAAGAGTTTCCAGCTGAAACTCTCCTTGGGGAGGTGATGTCTGTATGAATGGCTGTGACAGTGGTGACAAACTGAATGGCTGTGGATAATGATCATAGTGGGTTTGCAACTAGAGAAACATCTGAATTTGACAGAGGTGGGCGTAGGGAAGGGCACTTGAACAAAGCTGCCATCTTTCGGCAAAAATACAGAGGTGATTTTTCTCTTAAGTATTTTCAAACTTCTGAAGGTTGAACTCAGAACCAAAACTTTATTTATAAATTCATTTCTAACACCAAAGCAGTGTCTCCTGTTCTGCATTTTCTTGCCTCACTGCTCCATTAGCTGAACAAAAGCAAGACTTTTTATATCTATTTAGTCTGCACAGAACAATTAAAAGCTCCACAAGTACACAGAATTTAATGCAGACTCTGGCTAGCTGTATTTATCAGAGGCCTCCCCTACTACTGTTGCTGTGTCCTCCTTCCCCCCTGCGCCCCCCCCCCCAAAAAAAAACCCAAAGAAAAAACCTCTAAAATGTCAAGACCCGTTGTAGGTAGAGTGCAAATGGAATGTAGGTAATGTAAAGGTAAATGTAAGGTAAATGTAGGTAATGTGCAAATGGAAGAATTCTACATTTGGCAGGATTTACAATGTGTCTATGTTGTTCAATTTGCCCTATATTTGTAGGGCATTAAAGCTTATGAAGACTTAGCTGTCCAGAATCCCCCAGCCATGTTGTGTCAGCTTTATTCTGAAGGCCCCGAACCTGCTGCCCTTAGAACCCATATCTCCAAAGTAAACAGCTTAAATGTTGGCATGTGTTATGTGTTTTAAATGTCCCCCCCAAAAAAGTTCCCCCCATTTGCCTTGCCAATCTGACTTTACTAGGAAGCTAGTTTAACCTGTAACTTTTATACTTGGACACTTTTCCTTGTTTTGAGGACTGCCTGTCTTGTTTCTGTTGCATACACCTCACAGGGCAGATCTAATGGACAGTTTTTCTTGCAAATGCATGAACTATGTAACACATGGAAACACTTTCCTTGCCAGGTTTTGACAGTGGTGGCTGGAGCTCTAGCAGAGACAAGGATGCATACAGCAGCTTTGGTGCGCGATCTGACCGTGGAGCAAAATCCAGCTTCTTTGACCGTGGAAATGGGTCGAGAGGAGGAAGGCAAGTACTTTCTTTGGACAGTGTGTGCTAATTCTTCAGCGCTTGAGGTTTTTTTTTTTTTTTTTAAAAAAAGACCCTCCTAAATGGGAAGAATAAGATAAAGTAGGGAGGAGGATCTGGGGAGGGAAAACTGGAGTGAGAACCTTGCTTTAAAACTACAGGCTTTCCAGGATGGGAAACTTTCTTGGGAAACTTTTCAACACTTAAAATACATCGGAACTGATTTTTTTTTTTTGAGTTTTTTCCCCCCCATGTTGAAAAAGTGTAGTTAATAAAACTGGGTGAGACTCTTGCAGGTTCTCTGCCTTACTTGATCAATCTTACACACATCATGCATATGCACAAGTGTGGTGAATGACCTTTATCGACTAGTAAAGCTGACGCTAGTCCTGTGTCCAGCCTTTTCTCAAACATGGTTTACCAGGCCAAAAACTAAACAGTTGAGGTAAGGAATTTTTTTCCACCTTCTTTGCAAGTCAGTAATACAGGTGAGCTCAGTCTGTAAAAGTGGTTGTTTTTGTTGGTGGTTTTTTAAGTGTGATGCATAATTGAGGTTATATAATTTAGTTGGGTTGTAGGTGGTGGGGGGACAATAGGAACATGTCACAACGCTTGGGTCTCGAGATATTGTACCTAATATGGAACTCTGGGGAAGTGCAAGTGTCCTCATAAGAGTTTTAGTAGCCTTGCAAAACCAGGAAAGAATGCAGCCCTCCTGGCAGAGCGCATATTCTTCTACCTTAAGATATACTTACTCAAACTTTGTTAATCTGTTTGGATTTAGCTTTATATTTTTAAGTTGCATCAAGCTGCCAACTCATGCCAGAAAATAAACTTTATGACCTTAATACAAAATTACACTATGCCCTGATTTAAGGTTTGGGACTAGGCTGTCGCTTTGCACATCCAACAAGCCTCTTGCCTCTGTGTGGTGGTCTGATGGTTTTGCTCTGTTTAGGTATGAAGAACGTGGAAGAGGTGGTGACTATGACAGGAGTGGCTTTGGAAGATTTGATCGTGGCGGAGGAAGCAGCCGCTGGTCTGACAAATCAGATGAAGATGACTGGTCAAAGCCTCTTCCCCCAAGTGAACGTCTGGAACAGTAAGTAATAGAGTTGTAACATGAAAATTAATGCGATTGATTTGACTAGCAAGTAAAATGCCCTCTCTCCTCTTTTTAGAGAGCTCTTTTCAGGAAGCAATACTGGCATTAACTTTGAGAAATACGATGACATTCCTGTTGAAGCAACAGGCAGCAACTGTCCTCCACATATTGAAAGCGTAAGTATCCGTAAACTGTTTCTCGAACAGAGACACTAATCAAAGCTAAACCCTAAACATATTTTCCAAGTGAAACTTGGTGTCATGCTTCCTAACCTGGGGAGGGAAGGAGGCACAAGGTTGTTTCAGCTGTTTTGCCAGGGGATAGAGTTGCATGGAATGAATTAAGACATGGGAGAAGTTGTGTAAATGTATTCAGTAACACTTGATCTCTTATCAAGTGTTATATCTCTTACAAGTGTTACTCTTATCTCCAAGACAAAGCACATAAACACAAACAAGTAGAAGTGCTTTTCAAGCACAGACAATTTATTGAACTGAATGATCTGTTAGCTGGTTAGAGGAGGGACCTGGTGGAAAGGAAATAATTGCTATTTTAACTTGCCAAATATCTTGCAGTTCAGCGATGTTGACATGGGAGAGATTATTATGGGAAATATTGAGCTCACACGATACACCCGCCCTACTCCAGTCCAGAAACATGCGATACCAATTATTAAGGAGAAGAGAGACCTGATGGCCTGTGCTCAGACGGGTAAGTTGGTTGCTCTTTCTACTTAGCAAGAAGTAAACTAAGCAGCTACTTAGCTTTTCAGTAGAAGTAGCTCTCTGTCTCCTCAAGCTGCAGTTAAGGTGATTGAGGATGTACTTAAAGCATATACTGAAATAAATAGGCTTAGTATTGGAAACTAATAGCTTAATTTTTGCTGCTGTTGTAGATGGGACTTGAGTGGATTTACTGTGTCTGCTCCTCCCTTGGAGGGGAGAAGCTCACGACTGAAAACACATTAACTTTGGGGATGTTGTGCTGAGGTGTTTCCTTTTGTCATTGGAAGCATTTTTGAGCTAACAAGTGCTCTGATGCCATACTGTCAATGTATTAGTATGGATATTGTTGGAAATATGTCAGTTACATAGATTTTTTTGGTTCGAGAGCTAACAGAACTACTCTGAAGAAAGCTTGAATTAATAACATTTAATTGTGCTTTTCTAATAGGTTCTGGGAAAACAGCTGCATTTCTTCTACCAATACTGAGCCAGATCTATGCAGATGGCCCTGGTGATGCCTTGAGAGCTATGAAGGCAAGTACTTCATTAACAAGTTCTGTCCTGTATGATGACTTCTGGCCACTGAGCACAACAACTAGGTCTCACTGTTACTTCCCCAGCTAGATTGTCCCATTATCTGGGGTGGGCAGTAGGGAACCTTGTTTGAACTTCTGGAAGCCTTCAACTTTTCCCTGAAAGAGCGCTGTGGAACAGCCAGTTACTTCCTTTGAGTGGTGCTTAGCTGTGTAAGCTTGCTTGGATTGCTTCACTTGTCGTAAAATAAGCAAGCTACCTACCAATAGCTGCATGTTACAGTGGCTCTAGGATAGGAAATAACAGACATGGTGGTATTTTGTGGCAAGGTTAGATGACAGTGCTGACTGGGGAGAACAAACATGTGCACTCATTGTTAATATGAATCAGGACTTGAATCCTGAGTGCTGCAATATGGCAAATCTGAGAGTAGCAGTTCTCAAAAGCATGCCTCAGAGGCAGCTTGCTTTTCCTACCAATTAAGTGATGCTCAGGGGCCTGTTTCTACTTGCCGCTTGCACTCAATCCAAGCGTGTGTCCTTTTTCTTCAGGAGAATGGGAGGTATGGACGTCGTAAGCAATATCCAATCTCACTGGTCTTGGCTCCAACTAGAGAACTGGCTGTGCAGATCTATGAGGAAGCCAGGAAGGTATGTTCAGGTGCTAAGTACTTCAGAACATCTCGAGTGTTTTTTTTGTTCTGAAGATTAACTTCCTTTGTTTTGCAGTTCGCGTACCGTTCCAGAGTTCGTCCCTGTGTCGTGTATGGCGGCGCCGACATCGGGCAGCAGATACGTGACTTGGAACGTGGGTGTCACCTGCTTGTAGCAACTCCAGGACGACTGGTTGATATGATGGAGAGGGGGAAGATTGGCCTGGACTTCTGCAAGTAAGTGCAACTGCTCATATCTACATGCTGATGGTTTCAAACTACCTGTAAGTGACATAAATAACACTTCAGGTCTGACTCTCAGTTTTTAAACAAGTTGAGAGAACACTTTAGCCCATCTGTGTTGGGTAAAGTTTTAAAGTTGTTAAGACTAACTTGTTCTAATAATTTCTTAGGTACCTAGTGCTAGATGAAGCTGACAGAATGCTTGATATGGGGTTTGAGCCTCAAATTCGTCGAATTGTTGAACAAGATACTATGCCACCCAAAGGGGTCCGTCATACCATGATGTTCAGTGCTACTTTCCCCAAGGAAATCCAGGTATCTCTCTTGTAGTTTGGTTTAGTATTTCGGCAGTTTAGCCTTGACTTTCCTCCCTAGAAAGGAGGTGGGGGTAGGGAACTCACTTTATCATTTTTTTTAGATGCTTGCTCGTGACTTCCTTGATGAATACATCTTCCTGGCCGTGGGCCGAGTGGGCTCTACGTCTGAGAACATCACACAGAAAGTGGTGTGGGTGGAAGAGTCAGACAAACGGTCGTTCCTGCTTGATCTGCTCAATGCTACAGGTAAAAGCTTCCAGAGAATTTCGAGGCGGATCTAATGCCTGAGTGAGATATAACAGCTTCTATTAAGTGAAGGAAGAAGCTATTTTCTTGCACAGTGAATGTTTTGCACAGTGTTTTAAGGGGATGTAAGCTTCTCTGGTAACTGAAAGTTTTGGGGGGAGAGTGGGTTTATGGTGGTGTACTGGGCTGTGCAGTCTTTTGGGTGCTAACCTGTGGTTTAATTACTGTTTGTTAGGCAAAGATTCCTTGACTCTGGTGTTTGTGGAAACCAAAAAGGGTGCGGATGCTTTGGAGGATTTCCTCTACCATGAAGGGTACGCCTGTACGAGCATCCATGGGGATCGCTCCCAGAGAGACAGGGAGGAGGCGCTACACCAGTTCCGTTCGGGCAAGAGCCCCATTCTCGTTGCCACAGCCGTAAGTGGAATGCAGGAAAATCAGGGGGAGATGGGGATATATTCTGCTGTGGATTCTTTTTTTTGCTAAGATGGGACTAAATCTCTTCACCAGGTAGCAGCAAGAGGACTGGATATCTCGAATGTAAAGCATGTCATAAACTTTGACTTGCCAAGTGATATTGAAGAGTATGTACATCGTATTGGTCGTACCGGCCGTGTAGGGAACCTTGGTAAGTCAAACCTCAGATTTCATACAGGAAAAAATCCTGCTTGCTTAAGTAGTCTTTAACTAAAAAGTCAGAGGTCCGTGCATACATTCATGTGACCAAAAAGTATTGCTCTCAACTACAGTATTAAATCTGTCTTTCTGACAGATTGAATGTCTTTTTCAAGCTGTTAGTTACAGTTTGAAAAATGTGTGAAGTGAGCTTAATAGTCAAGGCTTTTAAACTGAATGAGCCTAGAAAATGGAGGGTCTGTTTTTAGCTGGAACACTAGAAGGCCTTTCTGGAAATGGCTGCAGGATTGTACTGAACTAAAGTCTTGACCAAATGGCAGACCCCCATGTATTTGTCCTTTTATTGCTTTTTGTGTAGCTGTTAAGCTTAAGCATGGGAGCATAAGCAAGCCTCTATGGGGAGTCTCAGGATATGTAGAACTCAAACTCTCCTCATCCTGTGATATGCAGTTAAAATAAAGCAATATCTAAAACTAGTGTTCTCTGAATACTCCTCAGATGAGTAGTGCTCAGTGTCTTTGTGACACAAGTCTTGATTTGACAAGTGTTCCTTCTGCTTCTCTCCAGTCAATGTGGAAAGTAACTAGTGTTTTAGTGATAGTCAGTACTCTTACCTGTTCTGTGTCATGTTCTGACACCTTCTTAAGTTGGCTTCTCTTTTGTCGTGTAAAGGGCAGGAAGTTTGTGTGGGAGTTAGACAGTGCTGGTGCAGTGAGTCTGTTACATCCTGTTAAAACTGACTCTTTCTTTTAGGCCTTGCCACCTCGTTCTTCAATGAGAGGAATATCAACATCACCAAGGACTTGCTTGATCTCCTTGTGGAAGCTAAGCAGGAAGTGCCGTCTTGGCTGGAGAACATGGCTTACGAGCAGCATCACAAAGGGGGTGGCAGCCGAGGGCGGTCCAAGAGGTAAGGACCAGAGCTGTGACTGAAGCTTCTGTTGTGATGCTCTGCTGTGACCTGCCTTCACTCCGAGTCTCAGAAATAAGCTGAGCTTCTTAGCTTTCTTGAGGAAATGAGTGTAAACTAGTACTAGATACGTTGGGAGGGGACAGCGGGGTGTTCGTTTAGATTTATTTAATCCAGTCCTAAATAAGAGGCACAGCTTGCTGCTTGAGAAACAAGTCTTAAGTGTTTGTGAAACACTTGCAGAAGTCCTTACCTGCATGTGCAAGAGTGTCCTTTAAGAACAATTTTTAATGTTAAGCTGATGCATGGTTTCTGACCTAAAGTAGAATAGGTATGGGAGCTAGACTACAGATGCTGTGGGTTTTAGGGGTAAGAAGGTAGTATTAGTTTAAAATA